ACACATTCAACTGTATTTCAAAGTCACTGCTACTTGCGCATCTAATTTTAATACCATTTATTTACTCTATTCCCCCCTCTTACCCTTATTTTAAACCTTACCAAACCGCCCAGTTTTATTGTAGCAGAGGACACTCCCTTCAATTACACATTTATAAATAGATGAATCTAGATTTTCTATGAGCTACACATCCATCTAAAAATAGCCTGATACAGAGGCTGGGCCAGGGCACTGAGCCATACAGCCATCATGTTCTACCGCATTTGAGGCAAATATCAACACTGGCGGTTTTGAGGATAACATTCCTAATGGTTCTGCATGGCCAGAGATTCTAATCTAGTGGTAAGATCTTATCTAGCAGAGATAGTAATTAATTAGCTCTACTTAGGATCCAAGGGACATAACCCACAAAGAAATTATCAATCGCTAGCGTGACAAAAATATAGGGTCCATGGAAAAAGAAAATACAGGAAAGAATCCTATGTGACCAAGTATACACCAATCTTTTGGATAAGTATGGTAAGTGAGTGTATCAGAAAGTATAACTAAAACCTCCATGAATCAGTCTACCCAACGCCTTTCTCCACTTGGCCCGAAACAGAAACCACCACCCATCCTAAGCCATTATTTATCGTTCTGGTATGGAAATATTAGTAAAGTAGAACCAGTCAGACATGAACAATTCTATCTATCAAACTTAACTAGCACTTGACAAATATTTTCATATTCATTTTGTACTTGATGGCAAGGATACCAAATCCAGTCATATCTTTTGTTGGCATTTTTTCAGGAATTAATTTAAGATGTGAATCAGACCTCTACAGCAGGTCTTTTTTTTCCTCGTTTTACCCTATTAACCTGAATATAAGCAGCACTCAGAGAGCTCTATTTCTGGAATATTTTAGCTGTAGATAGAAAATCTAGTCAGAATATAACTAAACGGTGGATCCCAAAACATATCTTCTATATTTTGACAAGTTTCATGACAACAAAATGATCTTTTGGCAGGCACTCTCAAACTGGAATTCCAACGGGATTACAAAATTAATGGGGAAGTGATAATGACACCATACATCTATGGGAGCCCAGACTGGTATAGGGTCAGCTCAGTAGCCTAGGTAGCAATGCAATGTGGACCAGACTTGATGTGATCAGTAAGCCTGTATTGTACTATACACCTACAATGCATGACTGTCAGGTTATGCTCCATTACATTTTAAACAGTCAGAGATAGGCCATCTGGTTTCCTGGGTTACTTCTCTCCCAACAGGACAGTCACCGGGTTGTACCTTCACCCCTCCATGACAGGACAGCAAATTGAGATTATTTAAAAAGCATGTGTCAAAATCTAAAATTCTAACTCCAAATTGATGGCATTTCACGATAATGGTTAAAAAATTCAATTTCTGTCCTGCACTGAATCTGAATGGTTTGAGTTGATCCCTGTAGATGACGAGGAGAGTGTGCTGGAATGGTTTGAGGACAGAATGATGTTGAGGGGATCTCTCAACATACACCATTATCTAATGTTTATTGATTTCTGTGTCACAGATGGATTGCCATGCATTTCATGGAGTTTCCCATGGGATGTTATCAGGCATAATGTGTTCTCCACGGATCAGTGGCAGACAGAACCATCTGCTCGTCATCTCTAAAGCAATACTGTCCCATTTAGCATTCAAACATCCACAGTTGGATGTTTATCCTCAGTTAGGACACTGCTTATCCTAAACACACAGGAAAAGCAGTTTTATCAACAAACATCTTTCTGGTCATTTTTTTTGTAATTCTTTTATACGCCGAAATCTGTATTCAGTGTCCTTTAATACTAGGCCAACATTATTGCTAGACCTCCAAGTTTCAGTGACTGCTTATAAAGCATTTGAAATTACACAGAAAGCAGATTAAGAACAAGATTAAGTGAGCATATCTCCAAGGCGTTTGACAATGTTAATACTGATGTACGGTATACATTCTAAAATGACAGATACCAAAGTATGGTTTGCATTTTTAGATGACACTAACTGCAGACGCAGTCAATATCCTTTACAAAAGATAAACTGCATAGTTTCCATGTAACTGTGTAACAGATTTAAACAATGAAATACACACATTTCATTATGAGCCATAGGAAAGCTCTTTATGTACTGACCGTTCGAATGGAGATTACTGGTGATTTTGATAGCTTTGTGTGTATGATAAATTAGTTAAGCATATTTAATTTGAACTTCCTTCAAAACAGGGTGTCTCCTGTAGGTAGCTTTCTAAAATAACTTTATTTCATTTCATAGTCTATTGCTACCATCCCATAACTAAACTGATAGCAGATGCTGTTCACTATCAAAGTAAAGGCCTTTTACTGTGTTAGTATCTAACTGCCTGACACTGCATTCTATAACTTGCCTACTGAACCAGTAGTCATATACTGCTCCCTCACAGAACCAGCAGTCAGACCTGCCTTATTTTTTTTTGCAAAGTTACTATTTTCAGTAAACTGTTGAGCAGTAAAATTTGGAATATAAAAGATGAAATTGGAAAAATAAAGCTCAAATTTCTGCAGAAATGGCTATAAATCGGCCCTAAATATACCCACAGAATGTCACTGAACATATACTTGTGTAGTGCTGATAGGTAACTAGCTCATAAAGCACAACCTTGTACACTATTCCGCATCAATGATTTCAAAAATATTAACCTCGTTCATTTAAGCAAAAAATTGTGACATGGTGTAGACAAATCAGAGTTTTTATTTTAAACCTAAAATTTCAACACAAATATATAAAACTACTGATATGTATAAAATAAACTTCAATTAAAGTTTTTTCTTGTGACATTAAGAAACACAAATCTTAGCATCAATAGTACTAGTCCTGAGTGTTGTTTGTGTCAACCGTCATCACTCAAGTGTAGCAGACGACACATTTGCTACACCCGAGCTTTTCAAATTTCATGACTCATTCATCACATAAAGCTCATACACTTTTCATAACTCTTATTTTCTCCCCCACAAATTCCCATGTCGGCCAAGAAAGAGACGACACCATCTGAACATTAACGTGACTCACGTTTTTAAAGGAGTTGTAAAAATCACTGAATAAAACTATGAGATAAGCAAACGCATAATATGGACAGCAGATACAGAAATTTGATAGACCAAATTTATTGATTTTGTTTATGCAAACATTACATCTGTGAAGATTTTATTCAAATTCCAGTGTTACCGGTACTGATTCCAACGGGTGCCTAGTCCTAGTTGTTGTTTCTTATAGCATTCTCTTCATAGTCTGAAATATTGTAGTTTTAGCCAGGGGGTGACAAGTCGTAGCAAATATCAGCAAATAATTTGATTTTAAAGTCATTATTAATGTGCAATTTTTATTAAATTACCAAATAGGTAGATGATTCCTAGATTACCAAATAGGTAGGTGATTTCTAGATTACCAAATAGGTAGGTGATTTCTAAATTACCAAATAGGTAGATGATTTCTAGATAATTCTTCTGAGATTACACTAAATTTGTAAAAGATTTCTGTGAAATGTTATAAATAGCCGTTGGGCACACGTGTTGTAACCATGTAATAACTGTAGAATGAACAGAGGTGTTTACCTTCCCTGTCCCAAGTACAGGACTTCTCCTTATCAGACAAAATACACTGACATCAACACTTGATCTATACCAGGATGCAGCCGTCTGATCTTCAAGCAATGTTTTCATGCCATAACAACCAAGGTTTAGCAAGCAAGTAAGCAATACCAACTAAAATATCTGTCTATCCAGTGATAAATTACATGGAAGATTTAACTGACGCAGCAACACAAATATAGTCAGTGCGGCAGAGCAGTGAAAACTGTAGGCCGCCTACCTTACAGTAGTTATAACAACTGCCACCAAATCAATATATAGCTGTGTCCTGTACATGGAGTTCTCCGCTAACAATTATGTAAATCAAAACTGGAAAAAATTGTTCCCGCTGAAAATCAAGGCCAATAACATATCGGCTACAGAATCTCAAAATTATCATAATTTGTTTGGATGTTAAAATTATGTCAAACATTTAATTTTATTTCTCATAAAATTTTGCAGGCAAATCATCTTGTATTCATGAATTTTTTCATTGATGTTGTGTCTAAAAGAAAAGCTATATATATAATAACTTAAACAAAACTCCAATGATTTGGAGTCAAAAACATCTGACAGTGACGAAATGAGATGCAGAGCAGTTTAAGTCACTTATCCTACAACAATCCATTGAGCGTGTTTGGATTTCTCGACATGTAGCTCCAAGTCCTGGTATAGCAAGAAATCAATGTCTGATACATCTCAGCCTGAAACGCTAGGCTAGGTCAGCCTACTCTCCGCCCCAACCCAGAAGGAACATGTCTATGGACTTTATATATACACAAATGCAATGCTTATATATACACAAATGCAATGTCATCCAGCAAGGTCATATCCGCAAATACACAACTTGTCAGGGAAAGGAACTCAACCTTTATTATAAGAAGCACTTTATTGTTATCAATAGAATATTTTAATTGCGTTGTTTTTGGGAGTGAACATTTCTTTAAGAACCTATTTTTTCAACCTCATCATGGGCAGGACATTTACAATTTTTCAACATACCAGGAAAAAATATTTACAAACAAAAGTTAAAGGTCATCATAAATCAGCTTAATCACACTTTCCCTTGGAAAAAACAAGGAGTTGCCCATTTTACACAATAGCCATGTTTTATTAAGCCAGCTACAACAAATCTGGTTGCCCCTTTACTCAATAAGAATGAACTTCAGGGAATAGATTTATTATATTTTTCTATTAAAAACTGTGTCTCACTATAATCCACCAGTTTCATTCCTTTTATCTGGAAAAGACGACAACCGGATTATGGGGGCTCAACTGTTTCAGCTTTGCACTTGAGTTGGCTCGAATGTTTTCAAAATGATCACTGCAACAGCTGCATTTCACAACCTTGATTGAGTATTGTGGAGGCTACACTTACCTGTGTTTGTGGATGATGGCGTTGAAGGCCAGGCCGTCCCTCCAACTGGTTGTGAAGTTTCGTACATTTACGTTAGGGTATCCCGCAGTCTTCATCTGGCACCATAGCAGCAGAGCGTCCTTAGCTGATTTAGTTTCACTATTGTCTGTTTCTTCTACCGTAATATCTTGGATCTGTGAGAAAAAAAAGGACACAAAATTGTCATTCACAATCTTCATGACTCAATATTGTATGCAAAGGTACTCACATTTAGCCATTGATAATTTTTCTGAAAAATGTTTCCAATCAACAATGATGGAGTGTCCTAACTAACCTCTGTCCATGTTAAGTACCAGATAGTTGTGAATATGAACAACAATTACTGACAACCAATTTGAAGCATTTAACAATTTTTAAGACCAATGAGTGACCACAATAAAAGGCCATACAGATTCCAGAAGCATAATCATATAGTATTGATTTCTACTATGATTACCAAAACATTTACCTGGAATCTGAGGATGATTGTCCAAATCAAACCTAGAGTCAGTCTAGAGCTTCCATCCACAATGTCGTGGGCACCCATATTTTCAAGATGGACTTTCTGTTCGTGTAAAAACTGTAGAGCTTTATCCACATTCTCTAAACAGTGAATCCTCATCTTTCCTTTTGTTGGTCGAGGCTGTGAAAAAACAAAATCTTCATATTAAACACAGGTGTTCCTCAGTGTTGAAAACATCAATACAATCAGGCAACAACACTTTGAAAATATGAATTGAATTGTACATTTTATGCAGTGTCAATTTTTTTTACTTAACAAAATGTAATTCAGCAACCTTTTAACTCAGAGCAGTCTAAATTTTCTTTTAAAGTTTAATATCAATGTGCTTCATACTTACAAGACGTTCTCCAGACAAGATTTCCAACAGTTTCATTAACATCTTTCCATCTCTTAAGTCTATATATAGGTCGGAGATTCGACATCCGAAGCGAATAAGATGAGAATTCACCCATTTCTGGAAAGTCTTTTTCTGCACAGATTCTCTTTCGTCTGGAATTAGAAAATTGAAAACTCATCATACCATGTGACAATAAAAGTTAACACATAAGCATGCAGAGCTGAACAAACATCGATGGAATGAATGCAATGAACGATGGAATGAATGCAATGAACTAAGTGTATTTGATAATTATAACAGGCATGTTTGATAGTATTTAATTTCCAAAAGATTGGAAAACAAAAAGATAACTTACTGATTTAGAAGTGCAATGTAAAATATAAAGCATGACATTGATAGTAAATCTACATTTTGGATATTTTAAAAAAGATTGCTATCTCTGAGATTACTATTAATGGTAGGACACACCTCCTGTTGGCTTGAACTCTATACATTTCACATGTGATATGTACACTTTACTAACTGTCAACAGTATTGTCATTTCAGAAGGGAGAAAGAGATGCCTACCACAATGTTGGGATTTGTTACCTAAATACACAAAACTCTACAAGCCTACAAGGTATTGTGTTTCAGGTAACCATTAAGGAGTTTCAGGTGACTGCTATCCTGGACATGGACTGGTTTGTCACCATAGGAAAAACTTTTCAATGACAGTATCAGTAACACACTAGTCCATCACAATACCTTCACATTACAGCTTGATGAGTTTTGTTTTCATTTCCCCCCCAAAAAATATTAAAACTTATTTTTTGTTACAGAAAATGGATCATTTGCAATATTTCTCTCTAAATGGATGTCATTTTACATACTAAATTCTATTATATTTTTCAACCAAGCTCAGGGTCATAACATTATATAATGGTATATATTCTAAATATGGTAATTATATAGCAACTGAATAAATCAACCAGCCAGAATTGACTGTTAAGGACAAAATATACTGCACTGGCAAAACTAACAACACAGATTTGCAGTATCATAGAAATTTGAGTTGACAAAACCCTTTTCTTTGTATATTACATATATGATAAAGCTTTGAAGACAAACTGAAGTTTACCTGCTAGTTGTTTAATTTTGTCCCGGATCCCCTTCTCCTGAATGTTTATGGCCACACGATTTGACATGATTGTTCCAAAGTCTAAATCACTTATCACTGATAAAACCTTGAATATGCCAATTTTTTTGCAGTCATGCAAATATCAATATGGCCGACATATGTCCACACCCTAAGCAATCGTCCTTCGACTTTCAGGTTACTATGCCCTTCAAACTATAGCCACATAGTAAAATTATGCATGGAGTCGTTTATGTATACATATACAAGTTTTAAACTCTTCACTTTTCCTGTGACACACATACGTATACTTGGTGTATCTGAACAAAACAGATATTTCCGTCATAATCCAGACAACTTCCTGAACAGAGATATCAGTAAAATGTTTATAAAACACACTTCTGTGCACATAGCTCAGTGTGGAAAGCAAACACACCCTCCAACAGACTTGCCATAAATGGAAAAGATTTTTTGGGGTGATGAATTGATAAGCGGCCAAACAAAACAATGTGACACTCTACACTATTATCTAGTGTGGACATTGCTCTATAGGACAGTCAAGGTTAGCTCACAATCTGAAAGACCTAGAAATCGGAGATAAAGGACAGGGGCTTCAGAACTTCAACAGAAAAGACCTGTGTGACACAAGACATTGGATAACCTGGAAAACTACAGTCTAACCAGTACACACCACACATGGTTTCTCAGCTGGCCAATTCTTAAAAGGTATGTTCATTTAATTAAGGAAGAGGATTCATTTACATCAATGTAAACAGAAATTTAAAGCTTTTTCCAATGCACAGAAAGCTTATCACAAACTGTAACACTGTGACTGATTTACTTGTCATTTATCTCAAGGAGAGGCTAACAGACATCCCCAGTATAAGTAGTTCCTTATTGACTCCATGTTGTAACAAACAAGACAGTGCAGAAATGTGTATGATAAACCAACCTCACAACTGTTCTTCAAAGGGTTTTAATACTAATCATTAACTTGGTTTAAGCTCTTATATTGCATATAATGTTTAACCTAACATTTGAAATATTGACTCTTGTACTTAAAAGTTTTACATGAAGAAGATTTACTTTTCTTCCAATTTTTTTTCCAACAGTATATTTCTGATAACTAGAAAAAAAAGAGAAAAAAATATAAACTGTGTCGGGGAAAGTGTTTTGCATTAGTATTCAACACAATGGTGATTATTTCTCATAAAATAACAGTTTAACAAGAGGCCCATGGGCCTGAACGGTCACCGGAGTCCTAGAGTATTTATTTTTGTTGTTGAAATATGAAGTGGAGATAATGATGTCAATCATCCCTTCCAATTTGAGTAAAAATTAGTTAAGAATAACATTAAATCAAGTTTGTCAGGACCATGAGTTGATCATTCCTAGACTGAGTTTCAGTTAAATCTGCCTATTAGAACTTGATTTTAAGTTTGAAATAGTTTGTGTTTTCAAAATTGCCGCCGTGGCTGCCATATTGGATTTTTATTTGGCCCGAATGAAAAATAACACTTTGCCAGGACCATGAGTTGATCATTCCTACCAAGTTTGAGTTCAATCGTCCCAGTAAAACTGGACTTTTAAGTTAGTTGGGAATAGTTTTTCAAAATGGCGGCCATGGCGGCCATATAGGATTTCTGATCCACCCGAAAAATAACAACATTTGGTTAAGTATATGCCAGTAACATTCCCATGAAGTATCAATGAAATCCCTTGGAGAGTATTTCAGCTTAAGTTGAAAATGTAAAATGTAAAATGTTAACGCACGACGACGGACTAAGACGGAGACGAATAAAAACCTACCAATCTTGAAACCATAAATTATATATGCTGCCAGATCCCCCCCATCTACCACTACCAAAACTTAAAATATCACTACTCTCTAACCAAAGCTGCAAACACTCTAGGTAATGAACTTAAGTAAAATGAACAATTTTATGAAATGGAGTGAAACTCAATTAGGACAAACATTAGCCAGAAAAGAAGACATGCTTTGATAATTGATTTCTACGGTATATTGACTTAGCACAGAGATAATATTTTAATCAATGCTGGTACTAACGCAGCATTTATCTTTTTATTTGTCCCTTCAGCAACCTTATAGCAAGATTACGGTTTTTGTAAACAGTATTATCCCCTAGTAGGTATGGATCAATGAGTGAGCTGGCAGACATAGGAAATATTGTGTATTCCTCTCTTACTCCATACAAACCAACATTGTTAACCAGGTTTTATTGTTAGAAATCAATATCAACTTCTCTGCAGCCTACTTCCTGCAGCTACATTACCGACGTCTGCCCGCTTGCAATTACGACAAATGTCAGTAAACATTCAATTCTCTTTTATCACTTTAGTACCCAAAATGATGAATAATGTTCAAAATCAGAATACTGCAGGGGAAGAACAAGCATGAATGTTACGGAGCACTAGCGCTGTTTGAATTATTATTTCGTTTCAGTAATCTATCACTACTTTCAATTTATACAATCTCATCATCCAAGAAGAATGACTGAATTTTTTATTTAAATACTCAACATGAAAAAACCGAAACCTACTATATAAAATAAGCATGTCCATTGTCCATATAGATTCCATCCCCTGAAGGAGTGCCTAATTACTTTAAATACTACCTCATTATCAAAGAGGTGGTTATCATCGAGTTTTTGTTTATAGCCATCAAAATGTACTGTATCACTATTTTATTCTAGTGTTATACATGTACTAGGTCAGCATGTGACTTTTCCTTCCATTCCCATGACCAAATCATTCATAAGATCAGTCATGCCCTCTTACCCAGAGATCATTGATGAAGTAGATTAGGATTAAGTCCCCTTATCCTCTTACACCGATGTATTTGACCATGTAATGACTACTTACAAATACATAAATACTTTGTATTATAATATATCCTATAAAGGCTATCACAATATAAACACTTGTACAAAGAGATTGTTCTATATCTGTCTTGTGTAAGTCAACTTTCACTGAAAATGTTCTGTTTATAATTGTTAACTTATTTAGGTGAAATACGGTATCTGTTACTCTTACTCCGTAGCTCAGCATTTTACCTCACACCAGGTCAAACCAGCACACTAACGGCATGTAACTGACGCAACAATGAAAATAAAATTTGTTTTAGAAATTTAGTGTGACTCATACCTGTTCTATTGACACAAGCACAGATTGCATTCAATCGAAAGCCATACGGCAACACTCATGCAGTAGAGGGTGGAATTTGTAGCACACAAGGTATTGACTAAAAAACTCAGATCCATAAATAACGTTAAACTGTGCGTAAATTGTCGCATTAACTTGACCTCTACAATTAGGAATGTCACTTAACACATTTCTTCAGTATTTTCAACCATCTGACAGTTTAAAACTATAATTGGTTTAACATTTAATTTCCTTGTCAAATTACAATGGTATTAATTGTTGTATTCTGTCTCTAAATTAAGCTGAGAGATTTCACCGCGTGAGTCATTCATTTTACCTGTAGGGAGCAAACATAGCCCTATATATAGCAAGAGTTTACCCTCCAAGTTCTTCTACCACAAATCAAATACAGTTGATTCAAAAGTAATGACCTTGCCATTCTCATTCTAAAATAAATCACTGTACAATCAAGGACAGACACAATTTATACTGAAGTAGAGGCATTAGACTTTGATTCTCTCAAACTGGGGTCTTTTCCCTCTCTCCCTAATTTATCATATAGATCAGGGAAAAGACTTTTGAAGTGAACATCTTGAAATATATATAATATCCCGATGCAAAACTTAACCTGCCTAGTAAAACAGCTGCTCTACCAAAATGTTACCACTTTTTACAATGTATACGGTATATGAATACCTTCTTCTCATTTGTCACTTCTTCGGTGTATAAGTGGTATAATTATGCATCAAGTCTGGTCATTATTGAAAAGTCATCCCTCCAGATATATCCTGCACAGACTACTGTCTGCCCTAGCTATTATGTGTATACGCTATATACATTACTTCATAAATTAAATGTTTATATAAATGTGTGTGTATACTGGTATATGTGTATAACTTAACCTCAAAAATTCACAAGAAAATCCCACTCCCACCCACTTTGAGGCCCTGTCCGTCACAAATGACCAGCCAACCTTTGAAAATACTCTTTTCTCAAGATACTTTTCAGATAACAAGTCAATTGATGTCAACTAACTACTAATACATCCATAAAAAGATATAGCCTACTTCAGGTAAAATGATGTCATAATATACTGATGATCCACAAAATCATTGTGATTTTTCAGAAAAAATGATAATTCATTTTTTTATTGTCTCTAATTAAGAATACCATAGATATATCCTGTTTGAACAAAATTTCTACACGAGTTGTGTTAGACTAGCCACTGTCTCTAGAATATTTAACAATTAAGAAAACTTGAACTCTAAAAATGTTGATCACTTCGATGTCTGATGCTTAGTTCTAAACTAGGGGGAGAATATAAGCTAGTAGTAAAATGCAGCCGAGAAATTCTTCATAAAACTTAGGGGCTGGTAGCCAGTCTAGGGTTGTGTAGACAGCAGTGTTTAATCATACTAACCTGCTAAAGCCTTGATTCTGGAACGCTCAAAAAGCTTGGAGGAGTTGTTGCCAGCATCAAATTCTTCCTCCATCTGTCCGGGATCCCACCGGACCCCATTGCTGTTATAGTTCTCAATCTCAGTCATGGCGGAGGGTCACCACAACCACAACCTCCTACAACACAAAATGTTACACAATATAATCATGACATCATAGGCAGCATCACATCCCTAGGTATAATCAGTATAAACAGCATGATAATATATTGTTAAAATCACCAGTATGATTGTCATGTCCATATTGGAAAAGCTGTACATGTACAGTAAGTAATTCTGTAGAGAAAACTGAGTGTGACATTGAATAAATGTATACAGTTTTCATTACTGGTTCTAAAATTTAATACATTAATGTATATCAAATTTGCATATCTAAATTTATACACACTATGTCAGATTGATTCAAATACAGACTTTAAAAATTATTGACTTTTACTTCAACATTCAAAGAAACATGATGAAAAAGTCAAAAGCTGTTCTCCCTCCCCTGCAACACTTGTTCATTACATAACAAAATAAGTAACTTAGATTTCTCTCCGACATTAACCACAAGGCTGCAAGTACATCTGCAAGCTGTCTGATCTTATTTTATGTACATGAACACTTGAAATCACTACAATCTACACATTCTGTAGCTGTTTCTCTGAATTTTCAATTTTGACAGTAGTAACATCAACAATGATAACCAACGTTTTGGAGCATTTTAATGATTTTTTTTAAGTGAATATTTCATTCGGATTGAAGGTGTAATTATACTTTATTGGATTCGAATTGGGGTTATAAAGCAATTCTTTACATGAACATTCACATATTTCCTGTTCTACAATATCTATGAGGCTCATGGGATTACATCACGTAGTACCCCACACAGGGTTGGAGATCAAGCATCATTTGATCTACACATCTCAATATGAAATACATCAATACACAACAAGTACTTTTTGAAGTTTTCCTGTGGGGGACCTGGGAATGTATAAGACATCAATAGCTACTAGTCTGCTATTATATGGCTCTGTATACCTTTGTGTGTTATATGTCCAGCCTCTATTCAGAAGGTATATGCCACACCCTTTACGCTAGTTGCATCATGAGAACATTATACACAGTCTGGAGGAAGCATCAGCTGTTACTCTCTACCGTATTTGTTGTACTAGCATCTCTGGCAATGAATACTTTCAATGAAGAGAAATCATATTTCCGGGTAATAACATATTTATTGCATGCTGAGAATCCAAATATGAGAAAACACAAGAGGCCCATGGGCCTTAACTGTCACTTGAGTCAGACAGTACTCTATTTATTAGTTGAAATATGAAGTGGAGATAATGATGTCAATCATCCCTACCAATTTGAGTAAAAAATAGTTAAATATAACGTTAAGTTAAAATGTCAGGACCATGAGTTGATCAAATTTGGAGAAAGAATTTAGGGTCAGGTGATCATGAGCTAAACAAATATGGCAATCTGTAAGGAGGAAGGGTACCGATGCAATTATGGTATAAGTCCGATATATAAACAGTACACTTGTTATAAGACAAAAGAGCATCACAGCAGTCAAGTATTGTTTTCACTCTTATCCTATGATTGTATCAGTCCTTTTTTTTGGTCAATAAAAAATCAGTAGTAAAACGCAGTTTGCTGGAAGCAGCTATACATATCTGTGCATTATAAGTTTCTGACAAACCTACATCCCATAGAGACCCAACTACTCCAGTCAGTCGTATTAGATGACAAACCTACATCCCATAGAGACCCAACTACTCCAGTCAGTCGTATTAGATGACAAACCTACATCCCATAGAGACCCAACTACTCCAGTCAGTCGTATTAGATGACAAACCTACATCCCATAGAGACCCAACTACTCCAGTCAGTCGTATTAGATGACAAACCTACATCCCATAGAGACCCAACTACTCCAGTCAGTCGTATTAGATGACAAACCTACATCCCATAGAGACCCAACTACTCCAGTCAGTCGTATTAGATGACAAACCTACATCCCATAGAGACCCAACTACTCCAGTCAGTCGTATTAGATGACAAACCTACATCCCATAGAGACCCAACTACTCCAGTCAGTCGTATTAGATGACAAACCTACATCCCATAGAGACCCAACTACTCCAGTCAGTCGTATTAGATGACAAACCTACATCCCATAGAGACCCAACTACTCCAGTCAGTCGTATTAGATGACAAACCTACATCCCATAGAGACCCAACTACTCCAGTCAGTCGTATTAGATGACAAACCTACATCCCATAGAGACCCAACTACTCCAGTCAGTCGTATTAGATGACAAACCTACATCCCATAGAGACCCAACTACTCCAGTCAGTCGTATTAGATGACAAACCTACATCCCATAGAGACCCAACTACTCCAGTCAGTCGTATTAGATGACAAACCTACATCCCATAGAGACCCAACTACTCCAGTCAGTCGTATTAGATGACAAACCTACATCCCATAGAGACCCAACTACTCCAGTCAGTCGTATTAGATGACAAACCTACATCCCATAGAGACCCAACTACTCCAGTCAGTCGTATTAGATGACAAACCTACATCCCATAGAGACCCAACTACTCCAGTCAGTCGTATTAGATGACAAACCTACATCCCATAGAGACCCAACTACTCCAGTCAGTCGTATTAGATGACAAACCTACATCCCATAGAGACCCAACTACTCCAGTCAGTCGTATTAGATGACAAACCTACATCCCATAGAGACCCAACTACTCCAGTCAGTCGTATTAGATGACAAACCTACATCCCATAGAGACCCAACTACTCCAGTCAGTCGTATTAGATGACAAACCTACATCCCATAGAGACCCAACTACTCCAGTCAGTCGTATTAGATGACAAACCTACATCCCATAGAGACCCAACTACTCCAGTCAGTCGTATTAGATGACAAACCTACATCCCATAGAGACCCAACTACTCCAGTCAGTCGTATTAGATGACAAACCTACATCCCATAGAGACCCAACTACTCCAGTCAGTCGTATTAGATGACAAACCTACATCCCATAGAGACCCAACTACTCCAGTCAGTCGTATTAGATGACAAACCTACATCCCATAGAGACCCAACTACTCCAGTCAGTCGTATTAGATGACAAACCTACATCCCATAGAGACCCAACTACTCCAGTCAGTCGTATTAGATGACAAACCTACATCCCATAGAGACCCAACTACTCCAGTCAGTCGTATTAGATGACAAACCTACATCCCATAGAGACCCAACTACTCCAGTCAGTCGTATTAGATGACAAACCTACATCCCATAGAGACCCAACTACTCCAGTCAGTCGTATTAGATGACAAACCTACATCCCATAGAGACCCAACTACTCCAGTCAGTCGTATTAGATGACAAACCTACATCCCATAGAGACCCAACTACTCCAGTCAGTCGTATTAGATGACAAACCTACATCCCATAGAGACCCAACTACTCCAGTCAGTCGTATTAGATGACAAACCTACATCCCATAGAGACCCAACTACTCCAGTCAGTCGTATTAGATGACAAACCTACATCCCATAGAGACCCAACTACTCCAGTCAGTCGTATTAGAAGGCTGCTGGTATCTTTACATACCACACTAGACATGTAATACACCAATGGAGACTAGTCCACAGGAAGTCAGCATCTCAATCAACACCAATTATCTCCACTCCGACATCACCACTACTCTAATAATGGCAGTCTTCCGCTCTTCAAGAGATAACTCAAAACTTCAATTATCTTGCATCAGTTCACTACACACTGCTCTGGTACAGTAGCAAACTTCTGAGCACTTGCAGCAACTCATTACCAGCATCCAGTAGTTTGTCAGCCATACTAGTATAAAATAGCAAGTATATGTGCATTCTGTACATGTCACTTTTCCAATTGCACAGTATATGAACAAGAAATGATGGGATGGATGTTTGAATTTCTTCTGTTAATAAGTTATGCAAGATATAGGTCTCCATGACAATGGCATACCACAGTTGATAAGAGTATATATCTCAGCATAAAAAGTTGTTGAATCTTGTTATTATTTTAGAAAATAAATTAACATTTGGATGTTCCTGCACTGTCTATATTTCAGCCCTGTGATATATCTAGGGACATCTTTTCCACAGGCATCCACACCACTCTCCGACACTCCAATGCAGATAACACATTCAAAGCCACTCCACATCTCGCAACTGTCTATTACAGATTACAACTAAGCTCCTAAAAATGACAGCACAAGCATCTCAAGTTACATATTTGAATTCAATTACATATTCAAAAGGAAATGAGTCCTTTTTAAACCCTGGTATGACCAAAATGTCTGTACCCTAACATCTTTTTGCAACATTTGCCCAGATTCAATTTTTTCCCCGACCATATTATTCCTCAGAACTAGTATACCTCATTTAAGAATCTTGCAGAAATTAAAATCAAAGTGTGCTAAATATGAACCTAGTGAAACTAAACTCACAAGAACCAGCTGTTCAAGCTTATGGGTTAAATCCACTTAGCTTTAATAACCAGTGTATGTTATAGGATTAGAGATTTGTGCCAGAAATCACTACCACTACAAAAACATGGAAAGCCTATTATTCAGGAATACTACACACAACCTAATAAATTCAATTGTAAGTTGGTTTGCATACCATTTCAGTTCTGCACTGCAAGCAATTTCTGCCGACGAAAAAGCCAATACACAATGTACACATGATTGACAGACGTGTACTGTTTCTGATGGTCAAATTATAGCTCTTTGCACAGTGAGCATCTGGAAATTAAACCCTTTAGAGAATATGGTATACAACACATTTCTACAGATACACAGACATGTAATGCTCCTATATTATACCTCAGCAAATCATATATAATCAACAGTATATATATAGTGGATGGTTAAGATTTTCCTTCACACAATCCTGCTTAAGGATCCCTGTCCCACTGCACCGTGGTTTTTCCCATATGCAGTAACACCTCCCCTTTAACTTCGGTTTGGACATAAAACTGTAGAACAATTGGGTCAGGATCCCGGACTCTTCCAACAACCAAGTAAATAAATCAGTTTAAGGGATAGTTTATAAGCAGTCTGAAGTCCGGGGTTCAAATCCAGTTTCAAACAAGAGATCCCAGAGGGATCTGGGCGCCAACCATTGTACCATCTTCATTAGTTCTTTGTCAGTTGGATCTTTTCTCTTCTTTTCTCTTATCTGTTTGATCGAGTCATGTTAACAGTAAATGCACCTTGTGGAAACTTTTGATCTAAACTTAATACTGCTGTGTATAAAAGACAACCTTCAAAGTGAGTTTGTCATTTCACAAATTTACAAGTACAGTACTTAATGTGAAAGAAATAGAATTGATCATTGCAATATGAGAAAGATCTGTTTATTTCTTCCTTTAGCAATTTTGCTTTTATGATCAGTCTCAAAATAAAACATGCACAAAGAGGGATCAAAGGGAACCTACATATCAAATTTGAGAAAGATCCCTCAAGTTATTCCTGAAAAATGTTAACAATTTTTTTGAGAAAAAACTAAAAAATGTTTGCAAGACACGAATGCCCTATACCTATAGCTAGTTCCCATTCAAATTAGTGTCATTGTTAGACACAATCTAGAAATAGTTTCAGTAATGGTGAACTTAGTCTTGACTTTGGAGTTTTGAAAAACAAACTTATTTGAGATACTCTCATACTCGAAATTTGTAAAAAAGATTGATGAACTTTTATTAAATAGTCGATAGAGAGAGATAAGTTTGGGACGCGGTGAGATGTAATGGTGCGTGTGTGTGTGCAACACACAGTGTAACCCATGTCTGCTCCGTCCTGTTGTTGCATGGTGTTGGGGCCCATTGCATTACACCTCGTCCCAATATTATCTATCTATCAACTTCTTAAATAGCTCAGACATCATTAAAGATGTGAATTTTGTTGTTTATTTTACTGTAAGTATCATTGCATGGTAGGTTCATCAGTAGCTGATGATCCATATCTGTGGTCAGTTGATCTAATGGGGTATATCCTGTGTGGTTATAATAGCCTCTTGACTTGACCAGACACCTATATATACACGGTACGATGTAACACTTAATCTAGTAGAGGGTAGTATATAAAACCAATCAATACCACACACCACAGTGTCTCATCACCTGAGGTTTCTGAATACCTGACACTTTAGGTATCACACATTTCTATATTGAAGACTCACCTGAAACTGTAACTGTGTCCTATATCACTACATAGCCAAGTCGTTATGTGGATTTACCTCAGCAGTAATGTCTCCAATATAATTATACCATTATTCACAAGGGGATTAAACATGATCCATCTGGTATGGGGCACCACATGTGGTCAGACAGACATAGTAAACCCTGGGAGGATGCATGGCAGGCTATAGGGAACACAAGTCACTGTACACACATACACATAGCAGCAATCGGATTCAGCCCTAATCAATATACAAACTACACCAGTAGGTCTCCTACACAAGCTGTGATCCTTGGCTGGAAATACACCAGACAGCTGAGGCAAGGTAAAGCTAGACACAGATCATACCTAGTAGATTTCCTAGGAATATAAACTATTTACCTCTTCCCCCGCAAAATCTTGATTTTTTTAAGGTTTTATAAGGATTTTGCTCTACACATTCTTCAAAATATGGATACAAATTCTGGCATTATACAAAATCAAGTTGTTTCCTTTGGCAGTTATTTTTTAGATGTGCATGTTTAAATGATGAGCAAGAACAGCTGAGCAAGCAGCATTATGTACTTCACTTTACATTGTAATGCACTGCTGAGCATATCTACAGCTGTATACTCAAAACACACATACATCACACCACTCCTCCCATATACCAGCAATTATCACACCTCATCCTCGATCTTACAAATGTTGGGCAGGATAGTCTCGGTACATGTGCTGCAGTAATACATATGTAGACAGAGGTGGTGGTGAATATTATGTACCTATACATGTTGTACATAATTAGATCCCCTTGTCTGCACTTGTCAATACAAAATACCAGTATATGTATAGCTCTTCAAAAACAGACACCGTTTCTTTGGTGTAATTGTTATTGCATTACATTTGCATCAATCAATATACACATTTGATTTAAGTACAGGGGTTGTTTGTCCCATGCATATAAGTAGAATCCTCTAATAAATTACATAGCTTGTGATACACAAGACTTACTACCTCAACTACTGGTCAGCTTGCTTTCCACCACGACATGGAATGATACACAACTAAAAATACTTGTGTATTAATTGGAACTACCTCAAAACCCTATATATTTCATCACATATCAGATTATCAGGCAGGGTATAAAGGACAGATACTCAACAACACATATTCCTCTTACATATGTTTGTATCCAGCACTAGAGAAATAATCCACAGCTATCCAGGTGAATTCCCCGACACTGGAGATTCCTCAGCGCATCATCCTGTGTTGTACATGGGCTGATCAGAGGAGGGAGACCCACTGCTGCTCCTCTTGCCAGTCTGCCAGCCAACTGGGGATATTTGAGAGTGTATGTAACAGCAGGCCAACTAACTCAGTCTCTTACTCACAGCCAGGATCAGCATAAATAAATGTAGGCTGCTACTATCTAGTGTGGTATCTCTTCAACAACTGATGTATGCCACTACACCAAACTAGTCAAACACCACAGATTGCCTCACTGCACAGGCTAATAACGATAATAGTCATTTCATGCAATATGGCACAACAGTATACAGTATTTTACACGGATACAACTCAGTAATCATGTGTCATCTTCAGTAGGATCCAGATAGCCGCCCGCACTGAGAAAACAGCACGCTGCATTAAAATTTCATGACAACACTTGTACAACAAAGTGAACAGGGAGCAATGATACAATATGAATAGTATCATACACAAGATGAATTATGACTTTAGGAATGGACTTCAGTTTTTCAATAGATAGATATGCTTAAATATACCACGCTGGCATGGCAAACCAACAGACACAACAACACATTAAAACGCATTTAGTCAGACATTCATTCTAACTGTTAAAAACTTTGGCAGCACTCCAGAATTTGCAACAAAAATTTGGCAAAATAAACAAATGTTTCTGCATCATAAAATTAAATGTGTATCACAAATGCTTTTACTGTACAGATATAATATAGTACACAACGAAAATTGTACATTTACATCATTATCCACCAATTTGTAAAAATGTCAAATTTAATTGAAGTTGAACAATATCTGAATTATTGTAACATATATACCAGAACAGACAGTCCTGTGTGTACATATATCTCCCATGATAGGTGAGCACTGTGATGTAACTGACTACCATGTGCTATACACAGATATTCATTATATGCAAAAATATTGGATGGCATTTGGTACTAGTATGTAGATTATGACCTTGTTCCACAGTAAGTCAAGTTCACCTCATGGATACATGACAAACGGGCTATTGCTTCAATATCATAATGGTTACAAGTACACAGCTAGAGGTGGCTCCTAGTGTAAAAGGTTCTACTATTGTATGTAGCCATCACGTTGTACACAGAAACAGTCACTAATTTGCTTAAATGACCTTTCACTACATTTATCTTTATTTTAGATGTAACATTTGATTCAAAGAGAAAGCTCCCTAAAAAGTACTTGAAATAATGGAGTAGGGCATTCTGTATCATTTGTGGAAACAATTAACAAAAGAGAACAATTGTTTCAACCTATATACACAATAAGCTGCAGTCCGATATAAATTGACCGAACATCTATTTCAATCATTTTTCAATTTATTGTTACAGATTTGCCTCGTTCTTCATATTATGTCTACAAGCATTTTATATAGTGGTACAAAAAACAAGTATTTGATGACATTTATTGGCTTTATTCAATAGCAGTGATCCGACACATACAGCAAGTGACTGTAGATGTGTGTCGCTCTATGTATAGTACAAGTTTGTGCAGTATATAGCCACAGGCAATCCTAAATCCAGATCTGGGGACCAGGTAATTACAGGTAGATGTTTAGGCATAGTCTGTGTTACCTGTGTTTTCATAAGAGTCTAGTACACAGACAACACACTAAAATGAACATTCACAATCTCTGTGGTTTAGCAGTGTTAAATACATGTAGTGTGTGTACTACGTGAAAGGGGCAGATGAGTAAGAGTGTGGGATAAGGGAGTGGTAGTGTGGGGCAGGGGATCCCGATGGTAGTGTTGAGTGGGGGAGTGGTAGTGTGGGACAGGGGAGTGGTATTGTTCAAGGGGAGAGTGGTAGTGTTGGGCATGGGAGTGATAGTGTGGGACAGGGTTGGGGTGTGGGGGAGTGGTAGTATAGGACAGGGTTGGGGTTTGGGGCAGAGGAGTGGTAATATGGGAGGACAGGGTTGTAGTGTAGGACAGGGGAGTGATCGTGGGGGACAAGGGAATGGGGGGGGGGGAGGCAGAAGACTACATCTGGGTAAGTAGGAGTGTTGGATGTTGGGCGGGGAAGGTGACTGAGACTGTGGGAGAGGGATTTATAGTGGGACAAGTAAATGCGGGTGTGGCTGGGTGATTGGGAGTGTCGGGCAGATGAGTGGGGTGGGGAGGATTTGAGTAGGACAAGTGAGGGAACGTGGGAAGGGATGGGAATAAGTTTGAATGTGGGGAGGACGAGTCTGGGTGTGGCCAGATGACGGGATGGCAAGGGGAGTAGGTTATGGGGGAAGTGAGAAGGGGTGTGGCCTGTTGGATGGGAAGGGGCCCGGGGAGAGAAGAGGGTGTGTGGGTCATGTGAATGGAGTGGGAGGATTGGTAAATAAAGCCATGGGAACATACATTAGTGGTCAGTTTTAGGTCGATTAAACTAACTGTTACTACCTAAGACTACCAATTTCAAATATAATTTTGAAAATATGGACAGAGTGGAATCTTCTTCAGCCGGCATTGAGACTCTCAGAAATAGAAACCAATCAAAGAAACTTAATAATGACGTAATAACATAATAAATATACTTATCAAAATCAGCAAAGTAATGGTGCATGGACAGGGCACCCTACTCCACTCCATAAACTTCAAACTTGTTGACATCATAATCATAGCAGTATAATCTAAAACCAAGTTCACCAACCTGCCTATTTTTAACTCATTTTAGAGTAATATGATGCAATGAATCTTATTCACTCTACAAAACACTTGAGTGAAGCACGGATAACAATACTGATTTATAGTACCACACCCACATAAATCTTATAACAGCTGTATTTACATTCCAGCTAAAATGATCCATCTAAGAAAAGATACAACTACAATTCTTTTGAATTCCTTGCTTAAATGATGATAATCCTATTTCTTTAGTTTGAAGATAATCAACTGATACAGGGTGTTTAAAACTGTACAATATACAGTGCAGCAAAATAAGGACACTCGGAACAAAGTGATATAACTCAACTATTTCTTCATTATAAAGGAAGACACAATCACCTCCTCTTTTGATTTATTATAACTATCTTTTAAGGTCGGGGTGTGATAAATCAATATACTTGCTAGCAATTTGAATTTCGGTCTGGTAACCCTTGAATTGGCTGAATACACTGTTCCATTACATATGATGCATTGAAAAGGATGGGGAATTGGTGTTTTCTAATACAAACCATAATGTCACAATAATATAAGGAAAGTAATTATGTTACTGTGTACCGATAAATGTAGCTAAGTACTATTAATACATCATTTATGACACCAGCATCACCACTGTCAGACAGTCCCATCAGTAGCATTAACTGGGTGAATCATACTACCAACAACCGCAACAATCACCCTGATTATGGGTGTTTACATCTACCACACTGCAAACTATCTATTCTCAATATCTAAACAATACAATAGAAATGCGGGAAACATTCTTAATTAAATAATAACATATAAGACTTGATCTTGCCTAAGATCAAACCAAAATATCATGTAAACTAGAGCGCTTTCGAGAAGATGTTCAATGGAATGAAACGTGTTGAATATGTGATTATTGTTGATGTTTTGTACGCTTGAGTGAACAGGTGAGAAACCTGAAGATCGGACATACCAGTATACACACAATAGTTTACAATTTCCTGTTTATGTGTACGTCATCCTCTGTCTCGCCGTGAAAATCCGTTAAACTTCCGATTCAATATATGCAAGACATTCTTCCAGCCAATCGACCAGTCTTATTACCAATACATCCCCGCCATATTGGAAATGGTGCCGCTGTCCAATGCATAATCCGAGATCGTCCCCAGGAAAAAAATCACCGATACTATTTGCACTTAACTATAGATATACAAATCAACATACCTGTGCAGTTGGATATTCCCACTAAATTTTGAACACTATTAATCGGTCCGTCGGAAGTATGCACTAAAGAGTTAAGTGTCTACCGGCTAGGCTGCTGAAGATTGCGGGAACCCGGCCCTGTCGAATAATCTATCTGTGTAAAAATAGTTCGTTATATTTGTAACGTTTTACGCATATTTACGCCATGTGTTACTGTTATTTTACCTAAAATGCATTTGATATAACAACATATATACAAATTCAAAATATAAATTGTTATGCAATGTGTTAAAAATAATAATAATTGATTCACTGCGAAAGCCGTCTGTTTACTATATGCGCAGGAATACACGGAAAAGTGCGAGTAATGATCTCATAGTATTATGGGATGGCGAGCGTCGGCATACCGTAAATCTCCTGAAAGATGTCCTAAAGCAACGTGATAACTTTTTGGCAAGCTGTTAAAAACCGTTTTAATTAGTTATTTTCATCTAAATATGCTATAATTAAGTGACATATTGATTTACTTCAGCTTTTTCTCATATTTGATGGGACCACGTAATTTCAAGTTGATTAGTCTGAAAAACATGTCATTCCCATAGAAAAATCAAGAAGTTAAGGCCCTTGCAAATGTTGTTTTATTTTGGGTAAAAACTTAGGGACTGACAGAAACGGTGTGCAATACCGTGACACATTACGATACATAAATAGACAGGTGGTCAACCTTATAATACGAAACTTGCATTTGAGTGTTAAGTTATGAGCGGGTGGAGGGGATAGCTGCAACATCTGTTCCAGGGCGTCAAACGTACCCCCTGTAAATACCATATGGACCAAATGTCAGTTAGACCTAATCTACATATCGCTATTTACGAATCTATACACTGCATGCTTGATTAGGATGGTTATCATACTAATTATCAAATAGTTCCTATATGTTACTGACTGGAGTTATCCCAGGCAGCAAGTACTTTGGGTAAAACATTTTTAAATTATGATATCATATTTATTTTGTAGGTTTTGATGTACCAAAAGTGACCACTGACCGATCTACTGACAGCTGCATCCAAGGAATGACCACTTGGTCTCAATATTAAACAAGGAAAAGGAATTATCTCAATACATTTCGTTGATTCTTAAAATTGTGTTATCCTTGAAAAGTAATTTAATATGTTTGAAGTTATATACTGCATGTGCTCCACCGTGTATATTTATGGTGTTTATTTTTAAAGTTCAATAATTGAGTTTTAGTATATGAATCGTGATGTATTTACTTGAAAAGGATAATATTTTCTATTTGATTGGTCAGATCAATGTGGTTTTTTTTTTATATATATAATTCAATATATATGAAATGCGTTTTGGCGAAGATTAACTGATTTATAAGTTTATAGCTAAGCGGCGAATTTTGTGATAATGCCGATATGTATGTGACTCGTCTCTAATAATATTCAGTATTGACTGGCACACTACTGACATAGTTGTTATACATATCTTTTCATGTGTGCGTAATTTAGATGTTGATATGCATTTATGTAGGCATTTGATTTATGGGATTAGTTAAGACGTAAATAAACAAGCTGATGCGTTACAAACTTACTCAATAGTCACAAACCCTTGCTATATTAGATAGAACGACAACTAGTTTGCGTGATACCGGGCACGTGCTTGCGGTCGCATGGAGCCGAGCGTTGACAAATAAACTGATGATTATAAATGCAAAACCATTGCAAGCTAAAGTCGTGTGGTTTACCGAGAAAATCCAAATATTTTTCGGCGAACCACATGGACGAAACAGCAATATGTTGCTAAAATGTATATTACTTGAATTGCCTGTTAGAATACACGCGTGTACATTATCATAGAAATTTATATCATTTTATGTTCATAAAACTTTATTACACATTAAATCTCTCGACGAGCCTACTTGTCGTGCGGAAACGCTTATCCTTCCACTTATATACACTAATGATGATAAGTACGGTAATATCAATTACACAGGGGACCTTACAATTAACAACAATATATGTCTACACGTGAATGGGTATTAGTAAGTTTAGACCTTGATACAAATAAACGACGTTTTTGCAAATGTGCTCTGTGGTCAAATTTCAAAAGTACTTGTATTATAATTTCATAACCTTCTTCAGAACCATACCGCCTATGACTTTGATGTATCATATCTAACGTATACAAGCATCCATAGGGATGTAAAATCAGCTTTGTTTAAATGTGAGATCCGCACGACACACCAACAAGTTTGTGATCAATAACCCAGGAAATGTTTACACTTGTTTTCCTTTGGTAACTAGAGTAGGGGTTTTAGACTAGTCAATGTTTACACTTGTGTTCCTTTGGTAACTAGAGTAGGGGTTTTAGACTAGTCAATGTTTACACTTGTTTTCCTTTGATAACTAGAGTAGGGGTTTTAGACTAGTCAATGTTTAGTATAGTAGTTTGCTTAATAATTTGAATTGGGTATGTGTGTTATACATTTGTTCCCTTTGTTTTTGGGAAACACGAATTCTTTCTTTCCGAATTTAACAAGAGTTCCGCGAAGCGGTACATGATACGCCCGTCAGATGTCGAATGAGCAGTTTGCAACAAAGGGCCATAAGTGCGTTAAGTTATTGCGCAGAAATTGTGTTCCGACAATTCTACAAAAAGCTGTTAGTCCGTAATTTATCTATAAAGGGCCATAACTCCCTTAATAACAGGCGGATAATAGTTATCGAACTTGTGCAAGCTTTCATAGAAATGAAACATTCTATGAAGTTTGAAATTAATCCATTCAAAATTACTGAAGCTATTGAGTGAAAACTGTTTCGTCAATTCTACAAAGGGCCATAACTGTATAAATAACTGGCAAATAATTTTTGTTATCGAACTTCTCCGAACTTTAATGGCAATGAACCTTCCTACCAAGTTTGAAATTAATCCATTCAAAATTACTCAAGTTATTGAGCGGAAACTAATGTGTTCCCGCCCGAACTCCCGAACGCCCGCCCGAACGCCCGAAAGCGTGAAAACATAATACGTCCAGTCATTCGAGCATTAAAACTACCTCCGAAAACTTGTGATTCCCCATCACATGTACAATAAGTATTTTACAATGCCGAAATAAAACAATAATCCAATAATAATGATGATCAGGTTGTCGCGCCATTGTTGTTATCTGCATCATTCTTCCTCGTTTTCCAAGAGATACTCCGAATAAGGGAAATACTATCGGGGACTCTCGAGCGAGTGAGTATGACGTGCTAGTTTATTGCCCGTCATGTGTAAGATAATTCCTGTACAATATATTGTAACATACACGGTAAGAAAAGTTCGGTACAATATATTGTAACATACACGGTACGATAAGTTCTGTACAATATATACTATAACATACACGGTACGATAATTTCTGTACTATATATTGTAACATACACGGTACGATAATTTCTGTACTATATATTGTAACATACACGGTACGATAATTTCTGCACAATATATTGTAACATACACGGTACGATAATTTCTGTACAATATAATGTAACATACACGGTACGATAATTTCTGTACAATATATTGTAACAACATTTCTGTACTCCTAGTATAACATGGCATTCCAAACGAACAATTAATTCCCCTCTTTGATGCCCACGCTGATGACATAACTCTTAAGAAACCGCGTGTTCCATGAGCGATAATTACGGGTAATATACCACATCAAAGCTACACATTGTCAGGAAGAAATAACATTTCATATACAAACAGTCATTTATATATAGATATTTGTGCCGGGGCGTAAATAGGCCATACCTTCTTCTCGTTTAATACTAACAGATACGTCTCTATCGATGGAGACACGAAAAAGAACTGAAGTTTATTTTGACACTGTCCCGATATCTCGACATCTCAACCACCAACGGGGGCAATACAGCTCTGACCCTCCGATGTTACAAAACAATGACGAGTTTCTTTAAAAGAAAAGGACAGTTCGACTTTTTTTTATAACGCTGACCTTCGTTTGATAACAGTGTCGCACTTTGTTTAACAACAGTGCATGGATGTGTTATTATAATGCCATGCAGTATACTTCTGATAACACAGAGCTTTGTATAATTCCAACACTTAACTAGTTTTGTTATGATTTCATTTTAACAACATTTAATTACTCCAGCACCAACCTTCTGCTGAGAATAACGCGTTATCTGGTGTGTTTTTTGTCACACTAGAAAAAGTTCCTCTATAAATCACCTGTTTCTTGAGTTGAGTTAAGTTGAGGGTGAGATGTCTGAGTAACGCGGTTTGATTGATATGATGATTCAGGACAACGTTACAGCAATGGTCCTCTGTTGACATTTGATTTAGGACAACGTTTATAACAGCAATGATCCTCTGTTGACATTTGATTCGGGAAAACGTTTATAACATCAATGGTCCTCTGTTGACATATGATTCAGGACGTTTATAACAGCAATGCTCCTCTGTTGACATTTGATTCAGGACAACATTTAAAAAAGCAATGGTCGTCTGTTGACATATGATTCAGGACAACGTTTATAACAGCAATGGTCCTCTGTTGACATTTGATTCAGGACAACGTTTATAACAGCAATGGTGCTCTGTTGACATTTGATTCAGCACAACGTTTATAACAGCAATGGTCCTCTGTTGACATTTGATTTAGGACAACGTTTATAACAGCAATGGTGCTCTGTTGCCATTTGATTCAGGACAACGTTTATAACAGCAATTGTCCTCTGTTGACATTTGATTTAGGACAACGTTTATAACAGCAATGGTGCTCTGTTGACATATGATTCAGGACAACGTTTATAACAGCAATGGTCGTCTGTTGACATTTGATTCAGGACAACGTTTATAACAGCAATGGTCGTCTGTTGACATATGATTCAGGACAACGTTTATAACAGCAATGGTCGTCTGTTGACATTTGATTCAGCACAACGTTTATAACAGCGATGGTCCTCTGTTGACATTTGATTTAGGACAACGTTTATAACAGCAATGGTGCTCTGTTGCCATTTGATTCAGGACAACGTTTATAACAGCAATTGTCCTCTGTTGACATTTGATTTAGGACAACGTTTAAAAAAGCAATGATCCTCTGTTGACATTTGATTCAGAACAACGTTTATAACATCAATGGTCCTCTGTTGACATTTGAATCAGGACAACGTTTATAACAGCAATGGTGCTCTGTTGGCATTTGATTTAGGACAACGTTTATAACAGCAATGGTGCTCTGTTGCCATTTGATTCAGGACAACGTTTATAACAGCAATGGTCGTCTGTTGACATATGATTCAGGACAACGTTTATAACAGTAATGATCCTCTGTTGACATTTGATTCAGGTCAACGTTTATAACATCAATGGTCCTCTGTTGACATTTGAATCAGGACAACGTTTATAACAGCAATGGTGCTCTGTTGACATTTGATTCAGGACAACGTTTATAACAGCAATGTTCCTCTGTTGACATTTGATTCATGACAACGTTTATAACAGCAATGGTCCTCTGTTGACATATGATTCAGGACAACGTTTATAACAGCAATGCTCCTCTGTTGACATATGATTCAGGACAACGTTTATAACAGTAATGATCCTCTGTTGACATTTGATTCAGGTCAACGTTTATAACATCAATGGTCCTCTGTTGACATTTGAATCAGGACAACGTTTATAACAGCAATGGTGCTCTGTTGCCATTTGATTCAGGACAACGTTTATAACAGCAATTGTCCTCTGTTGACATTTGATTTAGGACAACGTTTAAAAAAGCAATGATCCTCTGTTGACATTTGATTCAGAACAACGTTTATAACATCAATGGTCCTCTGTTGACATTTGAATCAGGACAACGTTTATAACAGCAATGGTGCTCTGTTGGCATTTGATTTAGGACAACGTTTATAACAGCAATGGTGCTCTGTTGGCATTTGATTTAGGACAACGTTTATAACAGCAATGGTGCTCTGTTGACATTTGATTCAGGACAACGTTTATAACAGCAATGGTCGTCTGTTGACATTTGATTCAGGACAACGTTTATAACAGCAATTGTCCTCTGTTGAC